GCGCAGTTCAGTCCACTTTACAATATATCCTGTGATATTCTCCCGATGTGTAAGGTGCTCTAACAAATGTTAGCATCATATTTATTATTCATTATTATTGTCACCTCATAATAATAATAATCCTTGGCATTTGATATAGTGAATCAATTGTATATTTGTGGGAGAAACGCGGCAGCCAATTGCACAAAGCAGTGTCCTACAAACAGTTGTGGATTGAATGACCAAATTATTATTGTTTTTTTTAAGGATTATTATCCCCGGGAAAGCAATCTGCCAATCAACTAAAAACGAGGTTCCTACTTACGGCTGGGAAAACAGAGGCATGTGGAATAAGGAAACTTGCCCAACATTTCACCCTGCAGAGAATAGAACCCATATCTCTCACTTGCGAAATAAGTGCTCTAACCACTGAGCTATAGGACTCCTCATGGCTGATTGTAGGGTCTTGCTAGCACAAATGCTCTGCATTTGCCTCAATACACAGTCACTATAGTTACCAATGATTAAGCACCTTGGGACATCCTCCCAGTGTGAAAGGCGCTATACAAATGTAATTGGTTGCTGATAATTACCTGTGAAATGCATTAACACTTTTCAATGCAATAAGATGCTATAACATTGTAAATTCTTTCTTCTTTCTTCCTTCTTTCCTACTGAATAAGATTAACTAGGATAGAATTAGATCCCACTTGTGATGCCGTTACCAGTTTGTATTATTACACAGTGCTCATCTATCTAACCCCTAACCCTAAGTTTCTGCTCTTATTTTCATTCCTATATTTCTTGTTGACAGTGGTCCACTTGATAAAACCTCTCAACCCACAAATAGACTGTTAAATAACATTTTGGGACATTACGTTATCTTGATGTTTGCAAAGATGCTGTCTCAAAATGCATGTTTAATACCAGCATTAATTTTTTTTCTGGTAACATCATTGGAGATGAAGTTTAGACATTCTAATTCAGTCTTAATTTTGAAGGTTTTGTTTGTAGATTGTACAAAATTAAGACTGAATTTGAGAATTGTTCAAAATTCCTGTGCTAAGATTAAAAAATCCAAGACTAGGTCCCAGTTGAATATTTGTACAATACAATACCAATTTACATTTATACAGCCCCTTTCATGTCGAGAGGACATCGGAAAGCACTTAACAGTACTGGCTGGGTTCCTGATCTATGGTGCGAGCCAAGGGGGCTGAGGAGGGGAATGAAGAACAAAAGTGCCATCAACGAGGTAGGTCTTTAGACAGACCTTGAACGAGGTGGGTGGGGGGGGGATGGGGGAGAGTCAATCAAATGAGCTTCTAATGCAGATGTCTCTAGCATGTTCCTCCACAGTGCCACTACCAAGAACATTTTAATACATTTTGCTTACAAAAAACAACAAAATTACATTTATAGAGCGCTTTTCACGTTGGGAGGACGTCCCAAGGTGCTGGACAGTCAGGGGTCAGGACCTGAGCATGGGGGAGGGGTGGGGGAGGGAAGGCTGAGAGGTGGGAGGGTGACAGAAGGCATGATTGAAGAGGAGGGTCTTGAGACCGGCCTTGAAGGAGGCAACGGAGGAAGCGAGGGGAAGAGACTGAGGGATGGAGTTCCAGAGTGTGAGAGCAGAGAGGCTGAAAGCCCGGCCACCGATGGTAGGGCAGGTCGGGCGGGAGACATGGAGCAGGCCGGAGCCGGCTGAATGGAGGAAGCGGGCAGGTTGGTAGGGAGTCAGCAGGTCAGAGAGGTAGGAGGGGACAACGCCATGGATGGCCTTAAAAGTGAGGATGAGGATCTTGAATTCGATCCTCTGGGGGATGGGGAGCCAGTGGAGTCGGGCGAGGGTGGGAATGATGGGGTCACGGAGCCTGGTGCGTGAGAGAACATGAGCTGCAGAGTTTTGGATGATCTGCAACTTGTGAAGGGAAGAGTTGGGAACGCCGATGAGGAGGGAATTTCCAAAATCGAGCCTTGATGTGACAGCATTTTGCTTAGGGCTGTAATCGTCACATTAAATGCAAGGGATCTTACATTGATACTCTCTGAGTTGAGCTTTTTCAGTTTTTCCAGCACTCTGGTTACTTACTGTGAGTCAGAAAACATCATACAATTTTCCTAACATCTGGGTGTGTGTTTATGTAACCATTTTTTAACCAACCCACTTCCTGTTAAGAAACAATGGTGAATTGTCACTCTGCCTTATGCCTAAGCATTTCTCTAGTGCTCTGATCTTTTCCTACCCAATTCTTCTGCTCGCCCCTCCACTAGGCTAACTCAGGCTCGCTACATATTCTTCAGTCCCACATCTGCGCCATGAGCGCTCTGCCTTCCCCCACCTCCATAATGTCACCCGGCTCTGACACTGTCTCACACCGCAGGCCACCGAAACCCTCATACACGCCTTCATTACTTCGAGGCTCGACTATGCAAACTGATTGCTTGTTGGCCTCCCCAACTCCTCCCTCCACAGGCTGCAGATCATCCAGAACTCTGCAGCCCGTGTCCTCTCCCGCACCAGGCTCCGTGATCCTATCACCCCCATCTTCACCTGACTCCACTGGCTTCCTATCACACGGAGGATACAGTTCAAGATCCTGGTCCTCACCTTCAAAGTCCTCCATGGTCTTGCTCCCCCCTACCTCTCTGACCTCCTAACTCCCTACCATCCTGTTCGATCCCTCCGCTCAGCGAGGTCCGGCCTACTTCACGTTCCCCACGTTGCTCGCCTCACTATCGGTGGGTGGGCCTTCCACCACTCTGCCCCCACCCTCTAGAACTCCATCCCGCAGTCCCTCCGTCTCACTCCTTCACTCGTCACCTTGAAGACTCACCTCAAGACCCTCCTCTTCAACTGTGCTTTCAATCTCTCTGCTTCCCCACCTGTCCTGCCCCCTCCCCCACCCCGACCCACAACTCGGGTTCATAACTCTGTCTGGGACATTCTTCCGACGTGAAAGGCGCTATACAAATGTAATTTTGTTATTGTTGTTGTCCTCTCCGGACTCCAGGCCACTTCAGAATCTATGTCCCTAACCCCTGAAACTCTCTCCCTCTACCCTCGGTTTCACCCCCTCTCTATTTGCCCCATTCTAATGCTCACCTTGAAACCTACCTCTTCAACCATGTCTATGGTAACCTAACCCTCTCGCTCTTTTCTGCTTGGTGCTTAATTTGTTTTTGTAAAGTGCACCAAGACGTTATTCTATATGAAGGGTGCAATTGCCGCTCACCAAACACAGCGACCCTGAGAAGCGTCTATGCCTGTGTCAGCCTGGCTCAGTTGGTAGAACTCTCGCCTTGAATCAGACGGTGGTGAGTTTAAGATCCACATCAAGATTTGGAGCCCATGTAGTCTGAGCTGACACTCTAATGCGGTGCGGTGGGTGGGCAGGTGGGTGGGTGGGGGTGGTGGTGGGGGTGCGGTGCTGCATTGCTGGAGGTGCCCGTCGTTTGGATGAGACTTCAATTCGTAAAGAGGAGGGAGTTTCTCCCTGTGACCTGGCCCACAATACTCCTGATAAAATTGGTCAATCATTTCATGGCTGTTTGTGGGACATTGCTGGACACAAATTGACTGCCTGTTCCTGCATAAAACCCAGTCACTGCACAAAACAGTATATCCTGTAAAGAGCTTTGCGACGGCCTCCTGATGTGAAAGGTGTTATACCACATGTAAAGATTATTAATACTACCATTATTATTATGTGTGATTGAGTCTCCGACTTTCATATTTTTTCAAACAAAAGAACACAACCGTCTCAGTTTGTCCAATTTATTTTCATATACTGTTAAAAAATACTTCCATGAAGTTTTCCAAAAGGCAAGAGTGTTTGGTGTGTGTCTGGGCTATCTGGACGTGGGGTCTGGTAGTGGTGCTGGCGGTGTCTACACATCGCGCAGACGTGGTGTGGCGGTTCAGACTGGCGATCGCGTAACCACAGCAAAACATCTGAGCCGGGGTTAAAACCGCGTGAGACGCTCCCGCGTCCTGAACGGTGCAATATCAATGCAAGTTGTTGTCGTCGTGGCTGTTGAATGGGTGGGTGGGATGGGGTGGTGGGGGGGTGGGGGTGGGAGGGAGGGGGGATGTCTGGAAGCGCTCCGAGACCCTGCCCCGCGTGCGGGCGCGATGTAATCGCAAGTTGTCGTGGAAGGATCCTGCGGTGAGAGTCGAGAGGCAGCTGTGAGACTTGGTGCTCAGACTTTGCTCAGAGGCAGTGACAGCCCAGAGCTGTGACCAGTTGCATTTCGCTTTCACTCGCCGCCGCCCCACCACCCCCCGTCACCCCCCCCCCCCCCGAGCTGCCTTTGCATAAAACCCAACGAGCTCAGAGAGTCGCTGCAAAAAGTTCCCTTGTGCTTATATCGCAGGGCAGCGGAGAGATAGCAGCGGTGTGTGGGTGTGAGTGAGTGAGTGAGTGGGTGAGTTAGTGTGTGGGTGAGTGTGAGTGTGGGTGAGTGTGTGGGTGAGTGAGTTAGTGAGTGTGTGGGTGTGTGTGTGTGAGTGAGTGTGTGTGTGAGTGAGTGTGTGAGTGTGTGTGTGTGTGTGTGGGGTGGGGGGGGTGTGTGTGTGTGAGTGTGTGTGTGAGTGTGAGTGTGTGTGTGTGTGTGTGTGGGGTGGGGGGTGAGTGTGAGTGTGGGTGTGAGTGTGAGTGAGTGTGTGTGTGAGTGAGTGTGAGTGTGTGTGTGTGAGTGTGTGTGTGTGTGTGAGTGTGTGAGTGTGAGTGAGTGTGTGTGAGTGAGTGTGTGAGTGAGTGAGTGGGTGAGTGAGTGAGTGTGAGTGTGTGTGAGTGAGTGTGTGTGTGAGTGTGAGTGTGAGTGTGTGTGTGTGAGTGAGTGTGTGTGTGAGTGAGTGTGAGTGTGTGTGTGAGTGTGTGGGTGAGTGTGTGGGTGAGTGAGTTAGTGAGTGTGTGAGTGAGTGAGTGTGAGTGTGAGTGTGTGTGAGTGTGAGTGTGTGTGTGAGTGAGTGTGAGTGTGTGAGTGTGTGTGTGAGTGAGTGTGTGAGTGTGTGAGTGTGTGTGAGTGTGTGAGTGTGAGTGTGTGTGGGGGGGGTGCAGGATGGTGGTTTACCATAAGCAGTTTGAGACCGCTGGGCGGGAGACTGGTGTGCAGGTGTGGCGGGTGGAGAAGCTGGAGCTGGTGCCGGTGCCCGACAGTCTGATCGGCAACTTCTATGTGGGAGACGCCTATCTCCTGCTGAGGACCGTCCTCGGCGCCCACCACTCCTCCTACAACCTGCACTTCTGGTTAGGTGAGGCTGGGGGGCTCGGCTCTCACACTTGGTCCTTATGAGGCTCTGCACATGTTTGAGGTGGTCCTGGTTACCTCTCTCCCTCTCTCTCTCTCTCCCTCTCTCCCCCCACCCGGGTCGGGTCGGGTCGGGTCGGGTTAGGTAAGGAGTGCAGTCAGGATGAAAGCACCGCCGCTGCGATTTTCACCGTCCAGATGGACGACTACCTGAGAGGGAGTCCTGTTCAGTTCCGAGAGCTACAGGGATACGAATCCAACACCTTCGTTGGGTATTTCAAGGGGCACCTGAAGTACAAGGTAGGCATTGCAATGCTCAGAGCTTCCTCTCCCTGCACCCTCACCCTCACCCTCACCCTCACCCTCACCCTCATGCCATCTGCTGCTTGTCCCGCTCCAGTGTGGCGCTGGGGTTATGCTGCCCTGTCCAAGGTGCCATCCCGGGCAGAGGCATTAAACCGCGGTCCCCGTTACCCGTTCAAGTGCAAGCTTAAAGGTCCCCCGCTTCCACTTGCAAAGGGAAGTTACTTTCTCCGAGTGTCCTCGACGACCACCCTCCCAGCTTTAAAAATAAATGGCCGTTCCATCAAAGCCTGCGGGACGTTGCTGCGCGCAAATTGCCTGAAAATAAATAAGAACGATCCTTAGCTTGCCCTGGCGACAGCGCGTTTCATGTCGGGAGGATGTCTCAAAAGTGGTTCACAGGTTTTGCTGTAAAGCGTAACGATCGTGTTTTATAGGCGAACACATTTCTCAGTTACGACATTTTAAAATAAATCCTGTGAAAGATGGTGCGTTGGTGTGTCCAAATGATAAAGCGGTGTATCAAATGCAAGGATTATTATTGTTGTTGTGTTTCTTGTGCATACTACCCTAACACACTAAAGAAAAGGAAGGAAAGAATGATCTTTACTAACTATCGCGGATCATTTATTTTTAGGTACTTTGCAAATAAAAGAACTATTTATTTTATTAATATTCCTACAATGATTTAATAATAATCATCTGTATCTTGTTTGATACAGATGATTATTAATAATCCCTGTGAATCGTGCATCCGGACTCTCACTCGCTTAGCTTTCTTTCCTTCTACTTCTTAAACCTAGCTGTCGAGACTCATTCACACCTTCATCACATCCAGGCTTGATTATTCGAACACCCTGCGTACTGGACTCTCCAACTCCTCCCAACATGAGTGGCAGACTAGCCAGAACTCTCTAGCCCATGACCTCTCCTGCACCAGGCTCCATGAGCCTATCACCCCTATCCTCGCTCGACAACACTGGCTCCCCATCCCCAGTGGATCGAGTTCAGGATCCTTGTCCTCATGTTCAAATCCATCTTTGATTTGCCAGAACCTCAACCTACCTCTGCAGCTTCCTTGAACAACACTGACCTGGGGGTGAACCGGATCCCTCTGCTCAGCAACACTGTCCTGCTACACGTCCTCTGCCCAGTCCACTCAAGCTTTCAGCTATTCTGGTCTGTTCTTTGGGACTCCATCTCCGAGTCTCCCTCCCCACTTTTAAAACCTGCCTTAAGATTTATCTCTTCAACTGTGCTTTTGGTCATCTTTCCCCCTCAAACTCTTCAACTCCCCTGCCCCCAGCTCAGTTGTCCAGTCAGCAATGTGAAGCATTTTAAGACGGCCTCGTAACATGAAAGACGCTGTATAAATATAAATTGTTGCACCACACAACATGCATATGAAAGAGATGGGGAGGAAATTTAATTAAAAACATGCTGTGTTTCAATCCCTGTATCTATGGTGAATAGTAAAGTTGATGTAAATGGACAGTGTTATTTCTATCATCACGTTAAAAAATTTCCTTTTCGCTGAAAGGTGACGATTCATGCCCAGTCATAGACCTCGTAACCAGCAGGCTAAGTTCCCATTTATGTAGGAACTTAGACTTTTAATATGATAGATTCGATGACCATGATTGGATCACAGCCAAACTCTGGCCTGAGCTCATTCTGGGAATCGAAATTTTGTGCAGAACATTAATGATGTAAATTAAGACTGTTGACATAATTTAGGGTGTTAAGGAAAAAAACAAGAATGTGCAACTGTTCGAGCTGTGCCTCCTCCCTGAGTCAATAGTACAATAACACTTTATCTTCATCAGTTATATGAAAATAAGTTCCCTGCCAGTTTGAAAAGACTACGTAAAATGAGTTATTAATATTTTCGAAAGCCAGACGGAGGTGAAATTCTACTGTTTACTAACCTTTGGAGGGCTGCACTTACTAAACTTCTCAGCTAATTCTATCCAAGGGCAGAAAACCATCAGACCGGAGTCCAGAAATTCTGCTTAGTCTTGGCCTTTATGACCAGTTTCTCTTAAAATGTAAGATTGTGCGGAACTGAAAAAAAAATCTGAAATTCAATCTTAACCAGGAAACTGTCTTTCTGTGATTCTTAAAGCTGGTTTCCATTTTAAGATTAGGTGGAGTTTCAGGCCTCTTAATTCTTAACATAGCTCTTTATAATGTCCAAACACACAAAGTATTTCAGGGGTAATTGCTATCAAGAGTGCCTTGTGTGCTGACGGTGTATTTGTGGACAAATGTGACAGCCAATTTGCACCCAAGGTTCCATAAACAGCCATTAAGTGAACCAGTGGCTAGGACACTGAGAGAAATGCTCTTCTCTTTTCAAACAGTGTCACGAGATTGTAACTGTCCACCTGAACAGACAGACTGGACCTCGATTTTAACGCCTCATCTCAGGCAGGGAACCTCTAACAGTGAGCACACTGAACTGGCACCTGCGCTAGTATATGAGCCTAGATTGTGAGATCATGTCCCAATGTAGGGCTTGACCCCACAATCTCACTGATTTCAGTAAACGTGATAATTGAACATGCGCATGTTTTGCTGAGTCCACCCATGAGTAATAATAGTAATCAGGTTATAATCTATCAATGCAGCACAACACCGGCTCTGCATTAGAGTGTCTGTTTAGACCATATGAATTCAAAATACCCATAACCATCTGACTCAGAGGCAAGAGTGCTACTAACTGAGTCAGGCTGACACCCGAGGGCTGGAGGAGCGGTACTGCGCTTAAGTTATCAGATGACACAATCAGTTTTACAGAGAGACTGCAACAAGTGCAAGCTCATCTACAGAAAAACCACAGAACTTTCTTGCTCTGAGCCAAAGGGCTTTTACACCAGACCCCATATCCTAACCTTGGGAATGGAGGGTTTTTTATGTGAGGCTGAAGATCTTGAACTCGATTCTTTTAAAGACAGGGAGCCAATGGATCCTGGCAACGATTAAAACCTTCATTGTGAAAGGATGATTCACCACAAAATGCCCCCCCCCCACATAGATTACCACTGCCATCGAGTGGCAAGCCATTTTGGGGTGTTGTAAAGTTGGTGCTGCAGGCAACACTCTCACATCCAATGCTACCCACACAGCAAACCACAGAAATTTACAGCACCAGAAGGCCTTTCACCCATTGTGCCTGTGCTGGCTCTTTAAAGAGAAATCCTTTGAGTGCCATTTCCTTGGCCTTTCCCCACAGATTGGGATGATGGATGTGCTACCAACTAAGCATGGACATTCACTTCATGATTGTTTGTTTGACATTGCGGTGCGCAGATTGGCTGCCACAGTCGCCTGCTAGATACAAAGTCACTGCGCTTTCCGGTATATCGTGTGAAGCATTTTGAAACACCCTCCTGGTGTGAAAGACACTTTCTCAAATGCAAGGATTATTCACCAAAAGGCTGTGGAAAAAAAAGCCAAGAAAATGGAGTGAAATTTGTGATCAATTTATGATCAATTGATGATCAGTCTGTTAAGATTATCACCAACGATAAGTAACACACAGTCGAAAAAACACAGTCAAGGCGGGCAGTTGATAACTACAGTCTACTCGGTAGTTGCAACACCCACTCTCTCTTAATGATTCCATAACAATGGTCTGAAGCCGCCCATGGTGGCATATCACAAGTGGAGGTCTTGTTAGTGAGATACTCAAAGTTGTGCTGGTATATCCCGAACTGGCATTTCAAGTGCCACACTCTGGCTGCCCTGGGAGGCTTTAGGATCAATCAACAACATTATTTTACATGTAGCACCTTTGAAAAGTGTTAAATTAATTTTACTTTCATTTATCATCATAATAATTTAGCACCTTTCAAATTGGTAGGACATTTCAAAGCACTTTACACAGCTGATTGGGCACCCGAGCTGTTACACGGTGGGTGGGAGCAGGGTGAAATCATGATTGAAAAGATAGATCTTAAGGCGGTCTTCAAAGGTGGGGAGAGAAAGGGTGAGTTGGGAGGACTCTGAGCATGCATAGAATGACTGAAAGCTCACTAACTGATGGTGGGGTCGATCGGGCTGAGGACATGAAATAGGCCAGTGTTCACTGAATTGAGGCAGGTGTCGGGTCTGTAGAATCTTAGGGGTGACAGATGTAGGGTGGCCAAAGCCATGGAGGGATTTGAATGTCAGGATGTTGATCAAGCTCCGTGCAGGTGGAATTGCTCAATGGGCAGGTATGTGTATCCGAGCTGTGTGCAGGAAGATGTGGCAATGCTCTCACAAATTTCATGCTGAGCTGGGTTGCTCAAGAGAAAACTGTGTTGCTCAGAGTTCTCTGTACCTAGGCATCCATCTAGTGTCTTCCTCAGGGAATAGGTGAGCAATCTCTACTTGGAATTGAGCTGATTCCAAAGTGACGTGCTTGGCAACATATTATTGGAATTGAGTCAACCCTCTGTGGTTTTGGTAATCCAATACCTGAGGCATAGATAGGGGCAGGCCAGTCACTGGGGTTAGGGACTTTTCCCACTTGGCTTTTGTTAACTCTGTTAGCCAAATCCCTAAGAAGTAGGGTGGTCCTAGCTGGACTACAACAGGTTTGCCGTACTGTGCATGTTTTCCACGGAATGTATTTTTGCAGCAGATTATTGAGGACTACTGTTCTAGGCTATTGCAATACAGAGGAATGTAGGAGTTTAGTATCTGTGCCTCATGTAAAGACATAAACTCATTTTCACAGATTGAAGGCTTTGCTAAGGTTAACAAATTTAAGAGGAACACAAACAGTTAAGGTCACAAACAGCTGCGAATGTGTGAAGAATAAACAAATAAACAAAAAAAGTTTATAAATCAGATTAACAGTATGCAAACCTGACTGAGTGTCCCATGCATGTTACTTACACATGGAAATGTCCTTGTGTCTGGAATAAAATGTGAATCTCTCCCTGAAGCATTGCACCTGTTTACCTAATTCTGGGAAGTTTGTGGACTTGTAAAAGTAGTCAGGGTAGTTGTAACACTGTGCTTTATAGTAAAATCCTGTGAAGTACTTTTAGATGTCCTTCCAACATGAAAAGTGCACTATCAAATTAAAGGATTGTTTTTTAAAAAAAATAGTTATTCCAATTTGTTTTGCTGTTGATAGCCAAAAAGAGTACTTTTTGGGGGATACCTCATGTATGTGTTAATTTAATTTTCTTCTTGTGTCTTTGTCAGAACAAAGACTTGCATTCATATGGCGCCCTTCACATGGGGTAACATCAGAACAATTATATCACATTGACTGGATCACAATCCACCAATATCTTGTGTGTTTTGGTAATCTAATTTGCGCTATTTGAAGAAAGGGTGCGAAGTGCTTGTTTGAATCTTCTCAGTCAGCCTAAGAGAAAGCTTTTGGGTTTATATACCCAGTGATGTGGTAACTGGCAGCTGTCCTGTTTTGAAATCTCTTGGAAGCAGATATATGGCATTTCAGTGTCCAAAAGAGGTGGACACTCTAAAAGCTTTCCGTAAGCATTGTATTTTGTGTGAATTGTGGAAGGTGTGGCATGGTTTATCCATGGAAATCCCAATCCCTTTCTGAAGGATAGAGAAAGCAAGATATCAGAGAGCCGATTTTGATAATTCAGAGAACAACCTTTGTTCATCCATCTGAGAATTGAAACCAGTATCAGCATTTGTGCACAAGGTTCAATTAAACCAATGCCTGTTTATTGTTTTATATTGACTCATAAACTCTAGTGCTTTTTTACAGTAGTGTTGGTATGTGTTCTATGTGTTGGTATGTGTTATTGGAATCGGAGCTTGTATATAAAGTCAGTTATTATTTTAATCTATACTGCCTGTTCATGTTGCAACGTCTGCCAACTGGAAATATTAGATGTTAAAGTTCAAGTCACAGATGTCTTATCTGGAAAAGATGTTTGCAAGCAGGAAATATATAACACAAAGTGCATTCACAATTGTCACAGTGGCCAAACTATGTGTAGTAACTGTAATTTCTTCAGTTGTGAGTTTATTTCCAGTTATACATGTGGGAACTTCTTCTAAATTAATAATTAATAATTGATGTAAATTATGATACTGTGACAGTTTGAAAACAGATGCTTATTGAGGTGTTCAGCTAATTCAAAACTCAGCTTGGTAGCACTCTTCCTTCTGGGTCAGAAGGTTGTGGGTTAAGGCTTTGCTTCCCATGGGAATTTGAGCAACAACACTTCAGGCTGATGTTACAGTGCAGCACCAGGATATGCTGTGCTGTTGGGGGTCCTTCTGATAACTCTTGAAACCGAATTCTGTCTGTCTGTTCAGGTGCCCACAAAAAATCCCATGACAGTGTTGATAAAGAGATGGGGGTTTTCCTGACCAACAATCCTGCACATAAATCGGTTGTCCATTTCATTGCTCTTTTACTGCTTTTTACTGCTGTGTGCAAATTTGCTGCTGAGTTTCCCTTCAAATGCTTTCAGTGTATGGTCGATTCACTGGCCAAAACAAAGCAATTGAGAGCAATTACCTGTGAAATACCTTGAAACATTTTGACTGCAAAGGTGACATATTGAATGCAAGGATATTGCATTATTTATTATTATTGAAACCGAATATTAAAATCAAATTTGTACTTTAAATGCTGCCGTTATCTCAATGCAAATTAATGATATAGGAGCACCTTAGCAAAGGTTTCATGAAACTATTTTTTTCTGAATCAGTACAACAATGAGATTTGCATCATGGCAGTTGAATTTCAATGTGGAGAAATGCGAGGTAATGCATTTTGGTAGAAAAAAAATGAGGGGAGGCAATATAGGCTGGTAATACAATCTTAAAAAGAACAGAGAGACCTGGGGGTGCAGGTAAATGAATCCTTGAGGGTGGCAGGACAGGTAGATAAAGCTGTAAAAAGGGCATATGGGGTACTAGGCTTTATAAATAGGGGCATAGAGTACAAGAGTCAGGAGGTTATGATTAACCTATATAAAACACTGGTTAGGCCTCAGCTAGAATACTGCGCCCAGTTCTGGGCACCACACTACAGGAAGGATGTTAAAGCATTGGAAAGGATGCAGAGGAGATTTACGAGGAATGAGGGACCTTGATTATGAGGAAAGGCTAGAGAGGCCGGGATTATTCTCATTGGAGCAGAGAAGGTTACGAGGAGACCTAATAGAGGTCTTCAAAATCATGAGGGGATTTGATAGGTTAGAAAGGGAAAAACTGTTTCCACTGGTGGGTGTGTCGGTGACTCGAGGTCACAGATTCAAAATAGTATCTAAAAGAAGCAGAGGGGAGGTGAGAAGACATTTTTTCACACAACGAGTTGTTCGAATCTGGAAAGCATTGCCTGAAAGGGTTGTGGAGGCCGATTCGATAACTACTTTTAAAAACGCGGTGGACGGGTATTTGAGGAGGACGGGTTTGCAGGGTTATGGGGAAAGGGCTGGGGAGTGGGATTGACATTACATTGCTCTATTCAAAGAGCCGGCATAAACTCAATGGGCCGAATGGCCTCTTTTTGTACTGTACGATTCTATGATTCTATGATGTGGTGCTGAAGATTATTTACTTCAGTTTGAATGGAAATGAGGATACAAATAAATGATAAAGCATAATAATTCTTGCATTTGATGTAGTGCCTTATCATGTCATCCAAACATCTCAAAGCGCTTCAGAGAATACATTGTAAAGAGTATTTTGGGGGCGAAACGTGCAGCCAATTGCACATAGTCCCACCAACAGTTATGGATTGAGTAACCAAACTATTTATTTATTTAATTTTTTGAAGGGATTATTACCATAAAGCAATCCACCAATCAACTAACAACCTAATCTCTGATGTGAAATGTAGTACTGCAGAAGACCCAGGGACAAATATTCAGGCTGACAGTGTTCATACTGTTTTATTTCCTGCAATTAGAAAGTTGGAATTTGTACAACAAGGTATTTGATTGAAATTAATACCATCAGTGTATTCTGATGGGGATTTCACACTCACAAACTAAACACACCAGTTTAGATAATCATTAAGGCACCCATCTAAATAACTTAAGTTGAATAATCTTGCATTTGATGTATAATATAATTTGCATTTATATAGCACCTTATCCCAAGGACCCCCAAAAGCATTTCATGTAAGTCATTGTGAACTGTCGTGACTGTATTTGTAGGTGAACGTTTCACACAGCAATGTCCTACAAACAGCCATGAAGTGAATGACCAACATTATCTTAGAGTTTGTTGGCCAGGACACTGGGAGAAACTTCCCTCTCCTTTTGAATTGTGCCATGGGATCTCCAACACCTACAAGAAGAGGCAGAAGAGACCTCAGTTTAATATCTTACCTGAAGGCCAACAATAGTTACAGAAGGGTTTTGTTGCATGAATCGCAACAATCGGTTTGTGGCAATCATATATTTTATACTGGAAGCACCTTTGCCAACAAGCTTGTGGTGGTGACACAGGTAAATCTCGTTTTGGATCTCTAATGGTAACCTGGTTGATGGCATGACATTGAACTCTTTTTTTAATAAAAACAGCTTGTATACTGTTAAGAGACTGTGGTAGGTGGGTATTCTAGAAGAGTGAGATCGTAAGACAAAAAGGTCTTCTTCACTCAAGCTAATCTTGTGATCTTGTATTCACATCCACTAGTTTGCTGGGCTGATATACCTTTATTTCCACTAACCTAGAATAATGTGGGCATTGTGTCTTGCAATAGTGACAACTTCCATCAGCAGGAACTTAGTGGTGTGACAGTGGAATTGTTCCTTTGTGCTCCGTTTAATGAAGCCACTAGAACCTCAAATGTTGGCAATTACAGTATAGGTAAATTAGAAAGAGGTACTTTTATTTCTCCACTGACAGTAATTTTCGAGGTCTCCTGTTTAAATTGTTAAATTTTTAGCGTCCCTTTTGTACACAAACTTTAATAAAGACGTGTTTGTTTCTTTTGCTACTTTAGGCTGGCGGTGTGGCTTCAGGGTTCAAACACGCTGTTACCAATGACCTCTCCGCTGAGAGGCTGCTGCATATTAAAGGAAGGAGAGTTGTCAGAGCAACAGAGGTGCCTCTCAGTTGGAGTAGCTTCAACAAAGGAGACTGTTTCATCGTGGATCTAGGAGCAGTAAGTTTTGCAAAACTCTTGCATTGTAGATTTTGACTTAAACCGATAACATCTGGTCCGGTTTTAGAAATGTTTTTCACCTGCTGCTTTGTTTGCATGAGGTCACACCACTTCCATTAAATACACAAGCAGAAATATGTTTTAGCCTGACAGCCTGGAACTCCTGAGCCATGGGTGGCTGTTTTTTTGCAATGTGTTTGGCACCTGTTAACATTCCTGTTTTCATTCTCCAATTGTTCCGCATTCATATTTTTACTGTCAATTTAGCTTCAAGGAAAGTGAGGACATTTTTTTAAAAATATGAAAAAAATCAATCTAATAACAATGAAACTTATTTTTATTAGGCTAATAGTATAAAATAATTTACATAAATATTAATGTTAAAGAAAAATGATCACCTCACCTCCTCTCTAAGGCTCATTAAATAAACTTGCCATTCAGTGTGAGGCTATACAGGCAGACAGGTTTGAACGGATAGAACGTTTAATTCCAAGTTTGTGCTGAACTAGTTGATCTTAGCCAGGACAGCTACACAGCTGCTAAAGCTGGCCTCAATAGTGCTGGGCTGCAGAAGAGAACAAAACTCAACCAGAATTTCCACTCGTGATCATTGTCTGCCAACACCCACTGAAAGGTTTTCTTGTGTTTAGATGTTGGTTAAAAACATGATGGAGCCCTTATTGTGCTTCAGTCAAATAGCCAAATTAAATGTCTATCCTCAGACTGTACTCAGACATAAACTCATTCCCTGGGTGAAGTACCAAAGTATCTTAGCGTGACTCAGTCCCACCAGCAAAGGATGGGGAGAAAACAGGAATATGATAAAACAAGACTTGGAATCGAGTGACAACTTCATGACTTCTCCCAGTGTCCTGCCTAACAATCCCCCAAATAAAACACACTAAAGTAGACAGCAGAACGAGAGCATGTGAGCCCAAAACACTGGAATCAATTAAAAAGCAGTTTGTTGCTGTGATGAAGGATGGTAGGCTGAGTATTCTGGAGGTAATTAGTTGGGCCAGTCCTCTGAGCAGCCCCAACCCATAGCAACCACAGGCCCATTCTTGCTTCTCCCATTCCCTATAAAGCCAGCAATATTAGTCTTCATATATATAGTCCATTTATTATAAATGCTGTTTGTCACTTAGTTTGGACAGTCATTTACAGTAAAACATTCCATATTCCAACACACGTTGTGTAAAAAATCTTGTACACTCACCTTTGTTTTCTGATCGAAATGCGTACCATGCTTTTTCCAGAAATGTCAGAAATTAAAGGTTGCATGACTTTTCACGAACAGATGAAATATTGTTTTGAGCAAAAAAAAACATTTCAATGTTACAAAGAATAATACCTTCATTTGTTCCAGATATCTGTATTAAAGTTTCACACAGAATCAGATGAGGTTACAAAAGAGTCAGATCAAAAGAGGGTTAACAAGAAAGCTCACTTGCAAATATTATTTTTGTTTCCATCAGAAGACTTTGCATGGGGGAAGGTACCACCTCTCCTGCACTGCTACCAAACCGATAAATAGAACGAGCCAGAGAATATTACAGTGCTAGACTATAAACATTCAAACCCATTTGGTTTCACCAAGTTTCCATAATAAATAGGCTAGTTCCCCTTCAATAGTGTTTGTGATTTTTCATGTTGTTAGGCTACTGAGAGAATTCTAACATGCGCTGAATACCGTTGCTTTGCAAACACTTTATTTCATCTTGAGTTCAAATTGTTGTGGTTCACTTTTATGCCAATCCTAGCAAAATAGTGTCATAAATACATTAAGTACACTAATTTGCATAGGCAGGTACACAAGGTTTCACAAACTAGTACACAGGCCTGCACAGGCTGGGACATGGGGATTGTTAATAAAGTGAGTGAAACTGGCACATAGTACACTAGAAGTAAATGTACTAACAAACATAAGTGGCGGGTGGCTAGGCTCACCCCCTAAAATCTATCTATAGCTCACCTCTTTAAGGGTGCTGCAGATAAATCCCCCAACAGTTTAAATGACCTGGATTTGGAACGGAAGGAATGAGGGATATGCAGACGACCAGAGTCAGCCAAGGGGGTGTAGCGGGTGGCGGCGTGGGGAATAAGCAGGCCGGAGAGGTAGGGAGGTCCCAGGGCGTGAAGGGATTTGTAGATGAATGTGAGGATCTTGAAGTCGAACCGTTCTGTGATGTGGAGCCTGGCGAGCAGTGAGAGTGCAGAGTTTAAAGTGGGTGAGTACATGGGTGGCAGTTTTGCAGCGGTTAGATTTTGCAGACAAAGGAGCTTGGAAGACCATTATAATTGCAGGAAATTCTGTCTCTCCAGACCGAATCCCCCCACCCAAGCCCTGGCCCTTCCCCAGCTGGGGTTTAAGTGTTTATGAAATGCAAGGATTATTATTATTATTATCTTCATTCCTCCCCTTTGCAGCTCTCTCTACTAGGGTACATTTTTTCCTGCTGAATTCCCAATTTTTCAGTCATTTGCTCTTAAAATGGTTCTGCAGCATTAAAAGAGTATTTGATGGGGTCAATTCAGGTAAATCATTGTCATTGCTGCTCCTTCATATTTCTCTGCACGTAAAGGAAATAAATGTGGCAGTAAAATTTGTCAAAAGTCACAGAATTGGGGGAGTAAATGGATTCTGATATCAGTAAGTACATATCATCCTTGCTAAGTAAGCCTTTTTGCATTGGCACTATGGACTTATTTCTTAACTGTACTTGAGCACGGCCCTGCACTAAAACACCTCCCGCTTTAGAGCTTATACTCTGACATTGTAATAACAGACCTTTAACCACAAAGTGATTATAACTTGGAGGGTGGGGCAGGGAGAGGAGGTTAGTAGAGGCAGATAAGCCTTTTGTAGGTGGTTGAATCTTTCTCCTTGTAAACATCTCCAGGTTCAAAGCATTGTAAGATATAATTCTGCTTGTTGGGCCGCAGTAATATTTTTGATAGCACTGCTCCTCAGCAATTACAGTACTAGTGACATTCCACGGCAAGGTTAGACTAATTTTTGGCTGGCAGAGCACAGAGTAGCATCATGGTCCAGTTAGGTTTAAATTAATCTTAAATTGATGCCCTCTAGTTACTGTTTTGCCGATCAGTGATTACATCTGTGGAATGCATAGCAGATAAAAATTTCCCATGTTCTTAGCTTTAGGACCATTGTGTTCAACTGAAGGTTGCGCAGAAGCTTTTGAGAAATTTTTAAATTCTGACTTAATTTGGAAGCCTTTTTTCCAGTCTTGTTTAAGAACCTCAGCTTCCAAATTAAGAACCAATTTAAGAACTTTCCAAAACTCTACCCAATATTAATTTTTAAGACGATAGTCTCAAGACCAAGAACATGAGCTATTCTTAAGATCTCGATGCAGAAAAACGCAATCGCCCAATTAGCTAACAAGAATTTTATATTAATCCTTGCATTTGATACGCCATATTACCTTATCACATTATCGAGCCATCTCAAAGTGCTTCATAGGAATTATTGTAAAGTGTAAATGTCTGTATATTTTGTGAGTGAATGAGATAGCCAATTTCAACGTCCCAAAAACAGCCATGAAGTGAATGGCCCATTTGATCTGAAGAATTGTGGCCAGGACACTGGGAGAAATTCATTACTCTTTTTGAATCAGGATAGTAATGTGGAAACAGAGATCAGTGTTTGTGCAGATCTCACAAGGCCTCTCTCTCTTGCAGGTTTCCAGATTCAATCCCATGTGTTGCAGTATAATAATAATGACCATCCTTCTTTTGGTATAGCATCTATAATGTCATAAGCCTGTCACAGTGTAGTCATTGTGTATTTTAGGTGAACAGAGCAGTCAATTTGTGCAGAGCAATGCCTATAAATTATTTTGAAGGATTGTCAGAGAGTGGAAGAAACTCTACTGTTTTTGGGTAGTGTCCTAGGTTCTTTAAAATCCACCTAAAAAGCTGGTGAAACCTCAATTTAATATTTAATCTAAAATACAGCTCCTCAGACAATGCTGCTCTCCCCAAACACTATATTGGCGTGTCAGCCTAGAGCTGAGCTGAGAGATCCTGACATGGGGATTGAACTCACAACCTTCTGTATAGTGATTGGAGGGAGTCCCAGACTCTCTCTAATATCTGCTCACAAGATCATAAGAGTGGTTCAATTGAAAAAAAGACTCATTAGCCCATCTTTCTTCCAGAAATAACAACTTCTCAATACAGCACCAAACTGTTTCTTAAATGAATCCAGTGCATTGGCCTCACTACCTTTCCTATCAACCCAAACCAGCTGTTGAATACCCTTTGTGTAAAGAAATATTTAATCCTAAAATTGCCTTTCAAAACTCTGAGCATGTGCTCTCATGTCTGCTGACTTAGTGTATCTGAAAGTGTTGTTCTGGGTTTAGTTTCACAATCTCATTCAATATCTAAAATACCCCCAGAAAGTCTCATCTGAGACATTATATTTTTAAGTTTGGGATTGTAAATTTTTACTTTGACGTTTGGCAACCATTTTTGGGCTCTGAGCCAATCTATGGCTTAAAGTTTATTATCTCATTTTATTGCCCTAGTTTCTAAGAAATGTGACACAGCTATCTGAGACTCTTTATTGCAGGTAATATAACTATAATAATCCAGAAGTTCAAGTGCAGAGAGTTCTTTAGTTTTGTTTGATAATACAGATTTTTTTGATAATCAGAAATAATAATTTGGTCACTTAACCTGTGACTGTTTGTGGGACATTGCTGTGGGCAATTGGCTGCCGCATTTTGGCCACAAAATGTACGGTCAATCCACTTTACAATATATTCAACAACAACAACAACAAGATTCCATTTATAGAGCGCCTTTCACGTCAGGAGGACGTCCCAAGGCGCTGCACAGTTGGGTCATGACCCGAGCAGGGGGGAAATGGTCAGGGTGAGGGGAGGGAAGGGAGGGAGAGAGGAGGGGGAAATGGTCAGGGTGAGGGGAGGGAAGGGAGGGAGCGAGGAGGAGGAAGAGAGTCGAGAGGG